AAGCCCCCAAAATAGGACCTACCGGCCATCAAGTCCTTTTTAGCATGTGCGCGCGTGTTGAGGATTCTAAATATAGATATGACGAATTAATATGAATATATATATATATATATATATATATATATATATATATATATATAGTTTATGCAAAACTAGGTAATCCGTATGGGTAGATCCAAGGAGGATGATATCCGGAGAGCTCAATGTAAATTCAGAGCAAATATGTTTGAATAAGGCTTAAGGTTCCATGTAATAAATTATTTCACCACACCCCTTTTAAAGGGCTCTGGATCACCAGACTTTACTTCCAAAGGTTGAAATGAAAAATGAAAAGAAATTTACACATTTTTGACGGGCCGTATTAAGTATATGTAAATTAACGAAGTGAGGAAGTGAAGGGGGAGAGAAGGCGAAGTGAGGAAGTGAGGGGGGAGAGAAGACATGAGTGAGTTAGATGTACCATTTCAATTCTTTATCCCTAACCCCACTTGGTGTGGGCTAGACAAACGCTTCACTTGACTTATGTTATCTTTAGATATGGATGGGTAAGTGGTGAAGAGGAAAGCCGACATAAAAGGAAGAAGATACAATAAAATAATCCTGATGAGAGAAGGTTTCACTTAATTTCTTGGACGCTGTTATTTCGTATTACTTTAAAGGGTTAAAGTTTGATATAAATCTAAATGTATATATATATATGCAAGTTTCGTTAAAAACGGCTGACAAGATGGTGAGAAGTTTTGTATAATTTTTCATGTTTTTAATACAAATATAAAAGCATCATCCACTTCTAAAAAGTCTAAAATAATGGAAGCATTATTAATAAAAAAGAAAACGTCAACATGCAATAATATCAATTATTAACACGGTCACAATGTGCTGACCGTGTTTGGAAAATATAAGATTCGTATCACTATCGATACATACATAAAACAGTCCAGACACTCAGTTAAAAGTAAAAATAAAATTCATCCTTGATAATGGCTAAAAGTGTAGCCGAAAGCACTTGGATGCTAGAGACTGTCAAACGCCTTCAAAACTACAGAGGAATATTTCAAGCAAGGTGGAAAACAAGAATCAGCAAAGCAAAGCATATGTATTTTGTGTGTGTGTGTCTGTGTGTGAACGCGCGTGTTATATGAGTACAATGAAAGTACTTTATTAAAGATTATCTTATATTCTGGGCCGTTTTTTCATGATTTTCCAATGTCTGAATACCTTGGTTTTAATTTTTGGACTATATCAGAGTCGTCGTTTTTAGAGATCGTTTCTTTGCGTCTTCAAGTAAGAATTCATGTTATGTTTATTTTTTAATCGGTGATACCAATGAGATTACAGAAAGAATTCGGAACAGAAACATTAATAATGAGTGGGAAGAAAAAACAATAATAATCAAAAGGACAGTAGATAGCGATTGACATTGCATTTACATTTTTGAATATTAAAGTTGGCTGGAAAGCATGGAGTCGGAAGGGGGTTCAACAAGCGGGAAGTATGAGAAAAGAAACTGTTAGCATAGAACTTATAATTACATCCAATCAACACAAGTGTAAATTGATGAGACCTCATCGCCAATCTAGTACTGCGTTTAATTTCAAAGAGTCTAGGCACCATAGTCGATAAGATACCCAGAGTTCGTCCAGACAATTGCCATAAAAGTATTTATAGAAAAGGCACAGAGTGGCAACCTGTGAGTCAGTGGGTTAGAGACTGAAGCCGAAACACCAAAACACGGCCAATAATGTTGCTGATTCTTCTTTGGATTTTATCAATGACTTCTAGATATATAACAGGGACACCGGACCATATATGACAGCAATATTCTAAGCATGGGCTTATGGTAGATTTATAGATTTGTAAGATAGATTCTGGAGAGAAAAAATTGTCTCGCTCGACAGTGAACCAACTTTCTTAGCATCCGACCTAACAATGGGTTCAATATAGTCTTTGCACTTCATGTTAGCTGAGAACGTTAGTCCAAGAAGGTGAAACAAGTCAATGGAGGTGAGCATAAGGCATGTTTGTTATTGGTGAAGTATATTTAGTATGCTAGTTAATAAATTTTATAACATTTTATAGATGTTGTGTCATTTACTTAGTATGCTTAATGCTTCTAATATATATAGTCGTTTCTTACGGTTTATGTGATAAAGTGTTTTTGCGCTGTCGGTAAGGAATAACTGGATTTTTTTCTTTTTCTTGTTGTGACATACTATTTATAATCAGATAAATGGCATGTTAGTCCACGCCATAATGTAGTGGTTGTGAAACCAATGTATGTATTGTTTTTCTGAATATTATTAGAGAAACACGGACGAACAAACTCACACATACACACGCACACACACATAAACATACACACACATATATACATACATGTGTGCGCGCGTGTGCGAATGTGCGTGCGTATGACGTGCTTCTACCTATCTCAATATCTTTCTTTTCTTTCTTTTTTCTTTCTTTATTTTTCCTTTCTTTTTCTTTCTTTCCTTTTTCTTTCTGTCTTCGTCTAACAAGTTACCTGTCAAAAAAACTACGTTTTCATTTCTTGCCTTCCATTGTTTATTACACAGGCATAAATAATGATGCGTATTTTTTGCCTGCATATCACCGAGGATTGAACTCCTCACCTTAACATCATCATTTCTTGGCATTAGGCAAAATTTAATTAATGTCTTTCCAAACATTGCGACCTTAAGCCGGACGAATTTCACGGTAAATGGTTCATTAGCGAAAATAACGTCTATTAGTGAAGAGAATAGGCATTGGTCCATAATTGATTTTAAGTTTAGACAAGCCTAGCTTACGTATCCTGTAATTACTTGATGACGTGTGCAGTATCTCAACTCCCTGCCCAAGACGCGAACTAAGAATTGGAAATACCAAAATCAAGTATGTCTGAAAATTTAAATATCTTAGAAGTGCTTGAACAGAGGAGGGAAAATATGACATGACACCGAAATCCGAAGGAGTACTGGAATAGCGAAAGATACCTTCCGAAGGCTAAGCAAACTATTAAGAAACAGGAAAATGTTGTTGGAAACAAAGAAACAACTGCTGAAAAATTATGTAATATCGGTCCTCCTATATGGTAGTGAATGCTGGGTAATCTTCCGACAGATGAAAAAAAGACTTGAGTCACAGACATATGATGCTAATGAAAGATGCTGAGAATACAATGGACTGAACATGTGAGTAATGCAGAAGTTTTAAAGAAAAAGAGTCACTTAAAATTTCTAGGAATCATAATAAGGAAAGACTGCTTGGAGAATTTGATACTCACAGGGCGTTAAAGGCAAGAGGAACAAAAGAAATGAGGTAGTGTAAATAGATGTCAGAACAGCGTTAGTTAGGGAGCACGAAATACAAAACTTGTTAAAAGTTATTATCGTTTACGTCCCAAAAGGACTCGGCATATAGAAAAAAAATGGCCCAATGAGAATTCCTTGTTTTGAATATACATTAGGTTATGGATTTAATTACATAAAATTTTACTATTGTTGCATTAGCGAATTGGTCGATGTTGTATTGGTATTACGGTGTTGGCATGGAAACATTTTCCCTAGGATGATGATCGGAGTGTTCGTCAAATATTGTGACCCGATTCAAATAACTATGAGGGAAGAGAAATACTTTCAAGAAGAACACAATCAATGGCAGATGTTACAAAACTAAGAATTATCTGGAAAGACAAGAACAACTGTTTTAAATTAGTGATCAGATTGTTGCATGTATTGTCCTTCTCAGTCTTTTTTTAAGATTGTGAATGTTAGACATTAACAGCTGAACTACAGCAAAGAATCCATGCATTAAGAAAATGGGAGGTTTACAGGTCTATCCTAAGCGTCTCCTATGTGAACCGCATCACAAATAACGCAGTGTGAGGCCCTATCAAACAAGAAGTAGGGTGATTGGAAGACCGTATAGAAAAAAAAAACAAACTTGAAAAGTTATTTCAGTGTTATTCAGAGTCAACAATATTTTCACTGCCACGCTACAAGTTGCCATTTTAGGCAAAAGAAGAGGCAAACAGAGGAAAATAAAGGCTGACAACATAAGTGAGTTTTTTTTGTTTTAATTATTTTACCTCAAGTAAGGCAGGAATACCTCTTATACGCATGGGATTACAGGTAATGAAAGTGAAAGTGAAAGAGAATAAAGTAGTATAAGCTAAGAGGCATAGCTTATATGGATATTTGTGGAACATAACGCTTAACCCTAAACTTGGACAGGTTAAGATTGTAGTGATCTGGGAAACAACCTCTTGGGAGTGGTTCGCGGAAAGAAACTGTTCGAGTGAAACATATTTCTTGGAATACTGAGGAAATTTGAGCGATTTGCTACAATAGAAGTGGAATGGCGGGTCCTAGCCGTGAAGGTTAGAATTGGCAGAACCAAGGAATACCATTCGTCCGAACACTTTCCATGGAACTAGCAATAGAACAGCGAGAGGCTTGCCACATCTCACCCATGAGAGAGAGGTTAGAACGTGGAAAATGATTTGTCACCCACAAGGACTCGGAGACACTTCTGAATTCTATCGAGACTGGAAAATGAGGACTGGACAGGTTTTTAACATTCAATTCACCATAAAACTGGCATTTTGTTAATCATTTCACCCCAAGCAAGGAAAGAATGCCACTAGTACGCAGGAGGTTACAGGCGAGGGATAGAGAAGATAGAGAGGAGTTGGGAAAGGACAAAAGATGAACAGGCTTTAAGAAGATAGAAGATGGCGATTGATGTTGCATTTAAACTTTTAAAGATTGTAGTTTTCAGGAAAGCAAGGAAATGGGAATGAGTTCTCCTCGAGGGAAGTGCGAGAAAAGAAATTGTTGAAGTAGAAGTGGCGGTTGCATTTAGCCATTTCAACAGTAAGAGAGTGTGACCTAAATGCCAATCTAGTAGCACGTTTAAATTCAAGTAGTCGGGATACCAAGGAAAAAAGCTCGTAAGAACAGTTGCCATGAAAATATTTGTAGAAAAGACACAAAGAAGCCATGTCATCTATTTTTAGTCATATATATGTGTTTTTGTCTGATCGTATCTATCTATCTATCTATCTATCTATCTATCTATCTATCTATCTATCTATCTATCTATCTATCTCAGTCTATGCATATCTATCTATCTATCTATCTATCTATCTATCTATCTATCTATCTATCTATCTATCTATCTATGCTCCAGGATTGAACAACGGTCAGTTATCAAGTTTTTGGTGGCTGAAGGGTGCAATCCAGTTGAAATTCATAGGAGTATGTCAACTGTATATGGTGCCACATGTTTCAGCCAAAAAATGTCTACAAGTGGGGTAAGTTGTTTAAAGATGGACGGAGCAGTGTTGAGGATGAAGACAGGCCTAGGAGGCCTACAGAAGTGAGGTCTCCTGAGGTGATCGAATCAGTCAATGACCTCATTCAGTCTGACAGAAGAACTACTGTGAACTGCTGAGGCAGGTCAAGAAAGACATAAAGAACAAACGCAGGGGTCATCAGTCAGAAGGAGTCATCTTGCATCATGACAACGCAAGGCCTCACACAGCAGCCCAAACGGTGCAGACCATCAACGAGTTGGGCTGGGAACTGCTCCCTCATCCCCCTTACAACCCAGACCTTGCCCCTTCAGACTTTCACCTGTTTGGTCCCTTGAAAGCGTTCACGAGAGGCATGAAGTTTAAAAGTGACGATGAAGTCAAAAGTGTTGTGAGCGACTGGCTTAGACATCAGTCCAAAGATTTTTACCCTAAGGGAATACGGAAGCTTGTGCACAGATGGGAAAAGTGTGTGACAGTGCTGGGAGACTACGTTGAAAAAAAAAATAAAGTAAGCTTCTATCTGTATTAGAAGTCCTTATACCTAAAAATTCACCTTATTTATTGAATGACCCTCGTATCTATCTATCTATCTATCTATCTATCTATCTATCTATCTATCTATCTCAGTCTATTCATATTCTATCTATCTATCTATCTATCTATCTATCTATCTATCTATCTATCTATCAGAAGCTACTCATATTGATCGATGTTCTTTCTTATCAACATTTTTTGGCATCAATTACACTTGACAGCCATGGACAGGTTTTGTAATACAGGAAACTGATTTAATCGAATTCTTATTCATTTCAATGTTTTTCCGAACCAGTGATTTTTATGACAGCGAAGCTTAGGATTTGAAAAGTTCTGCAAATTGTGGCCAGCAATAGGATTTCGTGCTAAAATACATGTACATGATCTCCTATGTGCCGTGTCCCTTCTAAATGTGGCCAATATTGACTCTTCACAACTTCCTATCCCTAGTACCTCTTAGTAACATTTGTCTCTTTGCTACCCCTCCCCACGTTCCGCCAGATTGAACCATCCTCCTATCCTTTTCCTTTTCGATATGTCCTTTGAGTGTCAAATTATCCAGGCCGTCTATCCTCATTGTTTGTCCAGGAAATTTCGTTTGTCTCATTCTGATTATGAGTATGTATCTATTTTTTATACAATTTTCCTGTTGACATTTTTGTTTCTTACCCGCTCCGTCCCTGACTTGCAATAAAAGAAAAATAGATGACAGAATGACAGATACGTGTATGTAAATATTTATTAATGTATTTAATTTAAATATATACATATACGTATGTACACACATATACGCTTATATATGTATGTTAGCTTTCATCTGGTATTTTGCCTTCAGCATTTTATTATTTCCATCATTTATACCAGTCGTCCTGGGTATGACGATAAACTACATCCGGCAGCAAGGCCTCGGATCGGTGGTGGTGTTGGTGGGGGTTGGGGAACATGGAACAATCTCTTAATTGCTGTTGTGTCAAGTTCCATCCTGGTAGCAACTGTTAGGGTCTCAAATATGGGTAAGTAGTTAATCCCCACCCCAAACTGGGATCAAAACACTATCAAAGTATAAAAATACATTTTTATAATAAAATACCAGCAATAGATTTTAATAGTGAAAAAAAAACCCCAAAAAACAAAAAAAAAAACAACCAAACAAACAAACAAAAAAAAAAACAAACAAACAAACAAAACAAACAAAGCATCCCCCAAAATTAAGGGAACATAGCGGTTAACCCGAGACTTGAACAAGTGAAGATTGTAGTGATCGAGGGTACATCCTCCTGGGAGTCTGATTCACAGATCAGAGGTTAGCGGGAAAAAAATGATTGAGTGGAGCTTACTTCTCACCGTTGGTAGTCTTGGGTAATGACGATAAATTATATCCGGCTGCAAGACTTCTGATTGGGAGAGTGTAGGTTTTGAGGAGCCTTTAACCACCTCTTCATTGCTGTTGTTCCCATCTCCATCCTCACTCGGGGTGCTAGCATTTGTTAGGGGCCCAGCTATGGGCAACAGTGTACCCTCAAACAAAAATCAATACATTTTTATAATAAAATGATCAAAAATACATTTTTATAGCAAAATGACGATCAATGCAACATAAAAAAAAAAAATGAAAAATACATTTTTATAGTAAAATTACCAACAATTCATTTTATGATCTATTATACAAACTATATATCTAAAAGGACATACCTTTACTCGAAAAGTATAAAATTATGTACAAAAGATATTCAGTTGAAGCCATAAAATTGCATTCAAAATATTTAGATTTTGGCATTAAATAACCCATAGAGGTTGGAATGCCTTTAAACAAAATCATCAAATCAACATTCTTACACGAGCTAATGTTTTGTAATGATCCCGTAAGTGATTCTTAAGGCTTCTCTTTTACAAACTCTCTTACACGCGTGGTAAACATAAAGTTTGTCTGAGTTACTTATGTTGGAAAATTTCCTATCCTTCTGTAAAATCATTTGAGATTTGAGCTACGCAACAGATTTACAAATCTTGTCATAAAAAAAAACTCGAATAAGTAACAGGTCTTTTCGGTAGCATTGCATTCACATGAGTTTGCAACTGATCTCTCTGGTGTGATTTTTTTTACAAATACTGCAAGTGTGTTGGTTTCCAAATAGCTCTGGGACAGGCTTTAATTCTTTGTTCCTAATGGCACTTTTTTTTTGGAATGTTCAGTTCTTTTCTGTTCAAAATTATTGCAGTCTTCCCAAATCAACCTTGTCCGGTTATAGCTATATCCAGCAACAGTTTCCCCGTCTCCAACATTAATGCCAAGAGTCTTTCAGTTAGATTTAACTACATCCTTGAAACGTTTGTTTTTTTTTTTTTTTGTTATTATGAGCGGATCGATTACCTTGTACCAGCTCACCATTAAAAAGCCCATCGGGCAATCTGCCATCCTCCATACATGTTAGACAACCTGTTCAGGCTATTCGTTTACGAAGAGGTAGTTTCTCTATACTGGCTATATTTGCACGCTGAAGGACTTTTGTATTTGGTGTACAAGACTGGCAGTTGATGTCCAAGATTCGACTTAGGCACTGCTTGTGAAAACGCTCTAAGACTTTAATATACCTGCGATTCAGAGGAATATAAAAGAGTGGTTAGGACAACTGTTACATATATATATATGTTACATACACCGACATATTTTTATTTATTTGTAAAAAAAATCAAGTTCACCCCAAGCAAGGCAGTAAAGCCACAAAAACACAAGTGGTTACTGGTTGTAGAATAATTAGAACACAGAAATATAACTAAGTAGCGGGAACAAAAGAAAAGTAATCAGGAGAGAATTGTATTTAATCTTTTAAAGATTAAAATCAGTTGGAAAGCATGGAACTGCAAGAGAGCACCACAATCGAGTAGTGCGAGAAAAGAAACTGTTAGCAAAGAACTTACGGTTAACATTTGAATCCTGCAACAGACTTACAAACCTTGTTATAAAAACTCTTACAGGCAGGTCATTCTGATGAGATTGAATTACATTGACTTTGAAACTAACCTCTCTGGTGTGATCAGACATCACTGGCTAAAAATAGGGGGGGGGATTGAAGAAAGATCAAAAAATAACCGAGACTCAAGAAGACTGAAGATGGCGATTGATGCTGCATTTGCATTTTTGAAGATTGGAATTATCAGGGAAGCAAGTAAACGGGAGGGAGTTCTACAGGTGGGAAGTGCGAGAAAAGAAACTGTAGAAGTGACGATAGCTATTTCAGCAGTAAGAAGGTGGGATCTAGTAGCAGGCTTAAATTCATGCAGTCGGGGCACTTGGGATAAAGTTTCGCCAGAGCAATTGTCATGAAAATATTTGAAGAAAAGATAGAGGGAAGCCACGTCACATCATTGAGAAAGTGACTGAAATCGAGATGCTACATCAGGATCGATTACATTGCAGATCCTTCTTTTGAATTTATCAAGAAGCTCGATATGTACAACAGGAGCAGCATACCAAATATGGCAACAGTATTCAATGCACTGATGAATGGTAGATTTGTAAAGGTGCAAGATGGATTCTGAGAAAGATTTTTTGGCATGACACTGTGACACTACTTTCCTTGCAGTAGATGAATTAATAGATTCGATATATTTGCTCTACTTCATGTGAGTGGAAAACGTGAGGCCAAGAAGGCGGAATCTGTTGGTTCCATGAGCATCAGCCATGCTGATGGTAGGTGGAAATATTCCATGTGGTGGTTAAATGAAAGCAGTTTTGTTTTGGTGGCGTTAAAATATTATATGGAAAAATGGTTAGAACATTAACGTTCTTATCATGAAACCAGGATTGGAATTTCACAGAGATGTCTGGTCTTGGAATTGGTTGAAAAAAATCTTTTTTTTTTTTTTATCAAACTCCTTCCACTATATAAACGATAATTTTTCAAATAAAACGATAAATTTTATTATTCGACCGTCTTAGACACCTGTTCTTGAGATTATTTTTTTTACTCAAGAGAGTTTTTTTGCACTTCTTTTAGATTGAAATTTGATCAGACAATCCTCTAGACACTGTCGACTTTGCTATAGGACTGTTTTTGACAGTTTTAATTTCCTTCGCTAATTCAGTAAATGTTTAATTCCTGTTTTTGTCTTTTGAAACATCCGTGTGACAAATATTGGCACCCGGAACTTTTCTTGTTACTGTTCCCTTAATTTAAATATGCTGTGCAACGTTTAACAAACGTATCCTAAAAAAATAAAATACGTGCCAAAAGAACGGTCTTTCCCTTGACACCGCTATTGTCGCATACTCCTTCGGTAATTTTTATTGTTTTAAAAAGCTATTTCCAGAATTTCAGTAAAATCCAAACATATAAAACTGGACATGTACATTTTTCCACGGATTTAAACTTAGCGAAGTTATCTGGTGAGAACAAATGTCAGAAATATTTTCAACTCAACTGTAAATTGATGAGACCTAGCTGCCAATCTAGTACTGCGCTTAAATTCATAACGTCTACGTACCATAGCTAAGGGTTTATCCGAATAATTAGCATTAATAGAGAAGACACAGGGAAGCTATGTTAAGGCAGTGTGAAACGGACTGAAGCCGAGATGCCAGGTTAGGACCAATAATATTGCTGATTCTTCTTTGGATTTTATCAAGAAGCTTTAGATATATAGCAGGAGCACCGGACCATATGTGGCAGCAATATTCAAAGCATGGATGAATGGTAGACTTATAAATATGTAAGATAGATTCTGGAGAGAAACATTGCAGATTCCTCTTTGGATTTTATCAAGAATCTCTAAATATATAGCAGGAGCACCGGACCATATGTGGCAGCAATATTCAAAGCATGGATGAATGGTAGGCTTCTAGATATGTCAAATAGATTCTGGAGAAAAAGATTTTCTATCGCGACACAGTGACCCAAATTTCTTAGCAGCTGACCCAGCAATGGATCTCAACTTCATATCATCCACGAATGTTAACCCGAGAAGGCGCAACTAGTCACGCTCCCGGAGGTTAGCACCAGATAATAGAGAACAGTTTAGTTTTGAAGGCGTTCAAATGCCCGGATTATTGCAAAATTTACAGTTACTCGTCTTTATCTATTATTATTATTATTATTATTATTATAATATTATTTTGTTGTCCATGGTTATTTTTATGAATAAAAAATTGATTTTCATCATATGGAAAATAATAATTATTTCATTTTAGTTGGTTCACATATTTTTTATAATCTTGTAAATAGAAAAAATAT